TTTGAGGTCCACGCTTGCTGCCATGCTCATACCATGTGATGTCAAGGATGATATGGGGTCAATACGATGATGGCGATGATGGAGGCGACGATGGTGGTGATGCTGATGGCGGTGATGATGGTGATACTGATGTTGATGATGATGATGACTTTGGGGGTGGTGGTGGTGGTGGTGATGATGAGGAGAAGGACGATAAGGAGGAGGAGGACCAGGAGGAGGAAGGCGGAGGAGGAATTGGAGGAGGAGGAGGAGGAGGAGGAGAAAGAGGACGGGAGGAGGAGGAGGAGGAGGAGAAGCAGGAGGAGGAGGAGGAGGAGGAGGACGAGGAGGAGGAGGAGGAGGAGGACGAGGATTAGGAGGAGGAGTTGGAGGAGGGGAGGGCGAGGGAGAGAGATGGACGGAGAGGGGGCAGGGACGGATGGACGGGAGGACTTGTTGGACGACCTTTTGACCAAGCACAGGAGGGTTATGCGAGGGGGGGGAAGGGAGGGGGGAGGCGAGGACGACTCCCGCACGATGGAGCCTAAACCCTGGAAGGAACATGGCCTGATCACAACCGCATCGCGACAGCCAGTCACCCGTCCCCCCCAGAGGGTGGGGGTCGGGACCAACTGCCATGGCGGACGGGCCGCACGAATCCCCAGGAGACGCGGCTGGGGGTCCACTCGTCGGGCTGCTTGCATCTTTCGCAACGATGACAATCTGCAAGTCCTTCTGTATCCCCTCTCTGCGAAGGTACTTGCCTCTCTTGACGCGGCTGAGATTATCATTGCCCTCACGAGTGAGCCATGTGCATTCTGACGCCATGTGCCCGCCATCCACTGTCGCGTACTTCCCGCATGTGGTGCAGAAGCTCATGAGGTAACGCTGCCCTCTCTGTACTGTATGCGATGGGTGCACACATCTCTGCCTGCCGCCAGTGCACTCCCGCACGTTGTACGCACACCGTCACCATCAGGCAGGGGACGCCAGGAATCACGGCAGGTCGTACAGGCCGCACGGATGACCCTGGACGCCGGCACCACAGTCTTACATTGGTTGCATTGCCACTCGCCTCCCGTGTTGTCCCAGCGGTGGCTCGAGGTGGCTATGACGGGGGCACTCGTCTGACAGCTTGGGCCCGCTCCCCACTCCATAGGTCGGCCTATGCTGCCTGTGCTAGGGCTCTGCTGGCGGGCGCTCGGACCAGGGTGCAAGCGGCATCCCGGTGGTCCGTGTCAGGCCCTCTTCTTTCCGTCGAAGTCGCCCACCCCCCGCCCGCCGACCGCAGCTGGCTCCCGTTGCAGCGATTCGCTTTCGTGGAAGTGGGGCTGGCGGCCATGCTGGGGCGCGCGGAGACCTGCTGAGCAGGGCGCAAAATGCTGGAGTTCCCGCTCATGGCATCCCGGGAGTGGCTGCTACATGCTGGCCTCAGCGATGATCCAGGTGGGCTTCGACCTGTGGCACTCGAGAGGGGCAACTTCCTGCCGAGGTGCGACGACGCGAGGCTGGTGGTAGTCCGCAAGCCTGCCAGGCACGCCGATGCACCGGCAGCGGTCATGCGGTGCTCCTGGGGATGCTGAAGCCAGCGGCGTGCGCAGGGGACGAGATCGAGCTCTTCCTCCCCGAGAGGTCGTGGGAGCGCCCGGAGCGGGCGACGATCCAGAAATCGGCCATGGCGACATTGGGGGTTTCGAATGAGCAACCGCGACTGGAGGGGGCGGGCGCCTGCAGGAGGGCGCGACCGAGCTCCAGATGCAGTTCGCGGATGTGCTGCGTTCAGGGAGTCTTGCGCTGCGCTGGGCGAGTCGGCGGCCATCCCAGATTTGGGAGGCTGGCTTGTGCTCGGTGCGGAGCGCGGCGAGCGCGGCGGCCGATACCTACGTGGCCCTCGAGACTTGCGCTGGCGGGTTGGCGATGGCGCCCCAGGACAACGAGGGCGAGCCGGGCGGGGCAGCAACCCGAGAGGCCGCCGTTGAAGATGGGGAACCAGATGACGTCGCACAAACGGCGGGGGGCGCGACGCCCCTGCGAAGTGTGCCGGAGGCAGATCACGGACGTGACAGCGCTGACGCGGGCAGCTGAACGAACGCCCAGATAGGCGACGGAGAGGAAATCCGCCACTCGAGCAAGAGCGTCGAGGAGACTGGCAGTTACCTTCTCGTGTTCACGAAGGAGCGCAAGATGGCCAGGTCCCACAAGGTCGGGGGCTGCGGCTGGGCGAACGGCAGGTCGCCACTGAACCCGACCTTCTTCGACGACTTGCTGGGCCCGAAGGAGTCTGCTGGATGCGCGGGCGCTTCGTTTCGCCCGAGATGGCGAAGGCGGCTGACGAGAGCGAGGGCGACGACTCGGGCAGCTCGTCAAGCTCCGCCAGCTCCAGCTGCGGGCTCCACGTGGCCCCCTGGGGCAGGGGCGCGCCTGCCCCCGCCCCCCCCGCCCTGACGGAGCAGCTGCGAGGGCACTGGCGGCGGAGGGGCCTCGCGCGACCCTCCAGGACACGAGCAGGCTAAAGGCCATGTCCGCGCGCGGGCGGGACGTCGGCCGCAGCTCGCGCGCCCGCGCAAGGAATGGTCGGAGACGGTCCAGTTTCGGCAGAGGTGGGCTGCGCCAAGGTGAAGACCTTCCGCTCGCCCCGGGGCTGTCCCGAACCCTCGTCGACTGGTGGGCGCCCTCGCGCGTCGACGACTTCCGCGCCGCCCGCGGGCCCCGTCGGCCGCGGGCGGGGGGCGGGCTCGGCGGGGGGGGGCGCTGTCGCGTTGGGTGTGCGGGGGGGGCCCATGGCAGACAGGCAGGGCTTCGGGGCCGCTTCCGCGTCGCCATTGCTCAACCAAGCTGGGGGAACCGATGCTCGGTCCGACGCCGTTCAGATCGAGCGGCTTGGACTGAGACCTTCGCGGTCTCTGGCGCAGTCCCGGTCGGCTCTCAGCGTCGCCTGCTCGACCGGGTGCGAGGGGCGCCTCGGCCGCGTGCCGCCGAAGCTCGCGCGGGGTGGGCAGCGGACTTCGCTCGAATTTCCGCGGTCGGATCTGCGCTTCCTCCTCGCGAAGGCGAAGGAGGGCGTTCAGCTGTGCGCGCAAGCGACGCTGTACTTTCCACGGTGTGACGAGCATCGGGCAGTTCGCCAACGCGATGAACTCGGCCGACGACGTCAGGGCGTTCGGCAAGGCTCCGCTCGAACTGGGCGCGGGGCCCGGGGAGGGGCCTCGCGCGAAGGCGGCGGCGCTGGCGCGCGCGCGGCAGGCGGCGCGCGCTCGGATGGAGCCGCAGTAGAAGATGAAGGGGGGGGGGCAGCGCGAGCCGGGGAGTCGCGCCACCCCGACCTCCCGGGCCCGGCTTGGCCCAAATCAGGGGCGATGCAGTTCAGGATGGCTGCGCCCGCGAAAGCCGAGCCCCCGCAGTGCCCAGAAATTGTGCGGAAGTACATCGCGCTTGTGGGCGCAGCGGTCTGTTCATGCTCGGGCTGTTCCAGACGACGAGCAGGCAGGAGCTGCAGGGCGGGAGCCTACAGCAGTACTAGGCGCACTGGACTACGTGCAAGGGAAGTATGTCTGGAACCTCGCGGCGAGGAGTGCCGGGGGCGACGCGGCCGCGCGCCCGCCTTCGAACTGGGCGCTGCAGTGCGAGCATCGGGCGCGAACGAAGGCCTGGCAGCTGGCGCGGCAAGAGCGCGCGCAGTTCCGCTGGCCCTCGCGAGCGCTGCGGCCCGCCACCAGCCGCAGCTGCTGCAGCAGCAGCCGGGGCAGCGAATGCTCGGCCCGCCCAAAAGCAGACGCGCCCGGGCCGGGCGCGAACTGGAGGCGGCTGCGCGCCCGACCAGGACGGGCGGCCCTCGTCGCGGACCCCGGGCAGCAGGCATGTCCGCGCCGGGTGCAATCCCAAGATGGCCGAGTGAAGCGCGAAGAAATGCCGCTTCCCACGCGCATGCTCGGCCTTCCTTGCGCGGGGCCACCCGCGGCGCGCGCGCAGAGGGCCAGCTCGCGGGGGAGACGCGCAGGGCGTGGCCATGCGGGCCCCCTCCGGGCGGCGCTGCCGAGCCAGGGCGCCCCGAAGGGCAGGCGGCCGCTGCCGGCGCCGCTGGGGGGCGGCGATCGGCTCTGGCGCCAGGGCGACGACGAGGGCGGCGCAGGGCCATGGGGGCCGCGCCCTCTGCTGGCGCCGTCCGCAGAATCAGGCCCAGCGGCCCCGGGCGGCCGCGCCCTCGCGGCAGGGCCGCGCGCGAGGGCAGCCCGCGCCCTCCGCGGGGCAACGCGGGCAGCCTCCGCAGGGCGGGCGTCAGCGGGGCCCCGCGCGGCCCTTCGGGGCGGGGGCCGCGCCGGCGCGCCGTCGGGGGGAACGCGCGACGGCCCGTTGAGGAGTTCGCCGGCGGGGGAGAGGCGCCGCGCGACCTCCTAGGGCGGGCGCCCGCCTCGCAAGGTCATCCCGACGTCCGCGAGCGAAGTCCAGGATGTCGGGAGTCGTCTCCGCGCGCCCCAGCGGGGGGCGACCCCGACGAGCAGAGGGCAAGAAAGTGAGGCAGGAGCTGGACGCGCCCCAGAATTCAGCGGGCGGGGCGCAGGGCATAGCTGCAGCTGCAGGTGTTCCATGTCTTCGCGGGGCACAAGCGAAGGGAAGATGACGCGGCTTCGCGCCCGGCCTCGGGATAGAGGCCCGCTTGGGGGAGGCGGGCCTGGCCAGGTCGGGCGACGCCGACCTTTCCGACGCAGCGCTGCGCGACGACAACCTCGACAGGCTGGCAGCAGGCCAACGGGGCATTCCCGCGGCTTCGCCTCCTTGCGGCCTCTGGCCAGGGGTCTGTGGATGGGCCGACGATGACCGTGCCCAGTGCTGCCGGAAAAAAGGCTTCCCCTGGCTGGGGGGTCGCGCGGCGCTGCGGTGCCAGGTGCTCAACCAGCTCGCCGGCTTCGCCTTCCGCGCGCTGGAGGGCCAGCTGACGAACGGCAGACGCGCGGCCGGCCTTCTGTAGCGACCCGAGGACCTCTGCGCCGCCCGCCATGGCGAGCTCTGCGTTCCGCGCCCAGTCAGCGCGTGGCAGCTGCCTGCGTCGACGAGCTCATCGCCCTCGAGGCCCTCCAGCAGGGCAGCTTCGGCGCGCCGTGCCCGAAGCAGGCCGACGCGTCTCGTCGGCCAGTGTCCGGGGCTGACTTGCGATTTACGGTTCCCTCGCGGGGGGCCGCAGTTCGCCGCGAACGGCGCGCGCCAGGGGCCGCTGCCGCCGCCGCCGCCTGCAAGGCGCCAGTCGCTAGTCCGCGGGCGGGGCGACGCCGCGGTCGAGACCGCGGGCGACGCGACCTGCCCCCCGCAGCTGTGCGAGCAAGTGTCGCGGGGCATGGGCAGCTGGGCAGACAGGCTCTCTGCCCGTCGCAGGAGGGGGGCCTCGCCTGGAACAGCTCATCAGTCGCGCTCGGGGAGCAGGGCGAGGGCGGGGGCCGGGGGGGCACCGAAGAGGGCCCCCCTGTCGAGAGCAGCCCGCCCAGAGAAGGGGGCATCTACATCGGGCGGGGCAGCGGCAACTTCCCGGCGAGCAGATGGGGCCCGGAGGCAGCCATCTCGCCCATCGCAGAGCGGCCCCCGCTCGAGGCGCTCTCGGAGCTCGACGAGGCGACCCTCAGGTGCCATTGCGACGTGGGCCCCAACTGCCACGCGGACGGAATCATCGCGGCATGCGGCGTGCGACCGCGAGGCCCCCGCGCCAATTTGGAGGCTCAGGACTGCCTCGCTGAGCGCGTGCATCCATGGCCCGAGAAGATTGCACGACGGCGCGGGCCATCTCTCGCCTGGCCGCTGGGGCCCAGATCTTCGGAAGTTCCCGTGTTGGAGCGAGCTGGGGGCCGATCTCTGCGGGGGGGGGGGGTAGTGAAAGCCGCGCGCGGATGGGGCGCCACAGAAAGTCCCCTTTTCGAGCTGGTGGCGCAGAGACGCCAGGCCGGCGCCGACCCATGCGCGCCCTCCGATCTCGCGAGGTCAACGAGGCGGCCAGGGGGATGCTCGAAGCCTGGCCAGGGGCGGGCGGTTCGCGGCGACAACGTGGGATGCATCTCCGAGGGGCAGCCCAGTCGCCCCGATTGTTAGTGGCACTCATACGCGAAGCTGCGGGTCCAGGCGCGGAGTTGATGAAGGGGCTGGAGACGGGAGTCGCAGCGGACATTGCACGAGACGTCCTGGCAGGGAGTTGTTCGAAGAATATGCGAGGTCGCGTCTCGATCAGGAGGCCGCCAACTGGGCCGCCCCAGAGGCGGCCGCGCACATCGAATCGGAAGACCAGAGCGACTGGCACGGGCAACACTTCGCGGCCGAGGTAAAGGCGGGCAGGATGATCAAGATGTCCCAGGAGCAGCTGCGCCACTGCTTCCACGACAAGCGCCATCGCGGCAGTTGCAGTCCTGGGGAGTTCGAGTGGCATGAACAGACTCGCCCGCGACGGCGCGCGCGAGGTCGCCGAGAACCGCTGGGTGCGATGCTGGAACCAGCAGGGCATGCCGAGGCTCGCGGTGAAGAACTACTTTTTAATATACTACGAGGACCCGCGCGCGATCATCTTCTCATCCGTCACCGACGTCGAGGGAGCGCATCGGCTAGCCCAAATCCGCGAAGACGAATGAGGCATGCTGGCCTGCGTGTTCGAGGGCGGGGTGTATGGCAACACCGTGTGCACTTCCGGCATACCCATCGCTTCAGAATGGTGGGCCAGGCTATTCGGTGCCGCGCTAGGTGTAGTTCTACTTGTTAGGATACGAGTGGCCAGCAGAACAGTTCACATATGCCGACGACATGGGGGCGATCCGTGCGGGGAAACGAGGGCGGCTGGCAACGCCCCCCATGGTCGTCTTACTCGGCGTTTTCGGCTTCCTGGCGCATTAGGTCAAGACGCGGGCGGCCTCGAGGTAGAGTGGATTGGACTTTATTGTGACTACAACAAGTACACCATGGGTCTCTCTGAGGTGAGGGTGGCGTGGGCAGCAGCTTGGCGCGGGGGGCAAGTCGAACGTGGCGCCGCCCACGTGGGCGAGCTGGCTTCGGGCTTGGGGCGCCCGGGCTTCGCGTGGGTGATCCTGGCGCGGGAGATGTCGCTGCTGGGGCCGGTGCATGCCTGGATCGCCAGCGTCGCAAGTATGGGCAGGAAAAGAGTCTTCTTGCCGTGGGCGACCAGGCTTGCTGGCGTGGATCGGCAAACGATTGGGTCATGGACATGGATTGGAGTCGCCCATCTAGTTCAGACGCGAGAGCGCCTGGGATGTCTGCTCAGGTGCGAAGGCGGAATGGGGGGGCGTTCCTTTGTAGGCGCCTGGGAAGTGCCGCCCCGCGGCAGCACGCGATGGGGCTCGCTGGCGTGCGACCGAGGCTGAGAAGGAATGGCCCTCCTGGGCGTGGGCCGGGGCAAACGACCCGAATCGGATCATCGCGGCGCTCGAGCTCCTGGGCGCGACCCCCCGCGCGAAGCGGTTTGCGAAGCCCGGGGAGAGCCGCCAGATTGTGAGCCGCGAGATGGCGGGGTCGACGGGCAACTTCGGGAACGCCTGCGCGGCGAACAGGGCCACGTCGACCAAGCGACCGTCGACGGTCTTTCCATCGACGTTTCGGAGGAGCGGAGGTCACGCAAGATGGCGCTGATCCTGGACCGGCTGCCGCGCGAGGAGAAACATGAGGTGGGTCATCTCAGCAACGTGAAGACGTCGGACGTCGACGAGTCCCTTGGGATCCGCGCGGCGGCCGTGGACCTCAAGTGGCGCGTGCTTGACGAGATGGCGATCGTCGATGCGAGGGCGGCCGCAAAGGGCGGGGCACCCGCGGCGGGGCGCGACCAGAGGGGCCGCGGGCGCACGTGCCTGACGCCGCGGCGACAGCGTCGCCCATTGACGAGACCGCGCGGGCGGAGCTGGAGGTGGCGCCAGCGGCGGACGGGGCCCCGCGCGACTTCTTCAAGGCGGGGGTGCAGCGCGAGGTAACTATTGCCTGCTTAAACCTCCCCCCGCCGGAGGGGATGCGCCCCGACCCCGCGTTCCCTTCCTGGGAACCCTGCGGCCGCCTCGGTGGCAATGGGCGAGGGCCCCCTTGGTGGGATCGGGGGTCGGCTTTGCAGGGGCCCCCCACGGGCCGTGGAGAGGCCTTTGAGCCGCCGTCCCTGCTCGCCTTCGCGCGGCGCGGTGCGGCGGGGGTGGCTGCGATGCTGGCGTGGCGGGGCGTGTGGGGCGAGGTGCGGTTGGCGGGCCTCGACGCTCGCAGCGTCCGGTGGGTGGCCCCGGGGACCGACCCCCCCCGCGTTTCCTGGCGTCCGCCCTTTCCTCCTTGGTGACCTACTCCCATCGCTTGATGGGGGCATCGAATTCCTGGGAGTGGGTCGGGCCCCTGCGCAACAAGGCCCCCGTCTCCGCCACTCTTAGGAGAGGCATCAACGTCACCTCCCTCTTGCACCACCATCGTACCGCTTCTAAGGCCAGTCGACGCCTTCGTGTGACAACACGAAAGTGTGTGCTTTTCGTTTTGCCCGATGCCTGTGACCATTTGGGCTCATGCGCTCGGCCGATTGTGAACAAACCACCCACCGCGCTGGGGCATCAAGTTCCTGGGAGTAGCTCGGGGCCTTGCGCAACAAGTCTTTTGTCTCCGCCACACGTGAAAGAGGCATCAACGTCACCCCCCTCTTGTGCCACCAGCACCGCTCATAGGGCCATTGGAAGGTGCCGTTTTTTTTTCCCCCGCGGAAGCATCCGCATCGTACGAAAAAGTTTTTACGGGAAATGGAAGACGGAAAGAGGAACAGGAAAAAAAAAAGGTGTAGAAAGCGAAACCGGAAGGAATGATGAGGGAAAAAGGGGGGAGGAGGAAAACGAGGAGGGAGAGGAAGGGGGGGAGCAGGAGTAACAGGAAAGGGGGGATCGGGGACACGTGGACGATGATGATGTATAATACGGAGTTTTCGGAGCAGCGACCAGATAACGAAGATATATGGGGCAACCAGAGAATGGTTGATAGCTGGACGACGTACCGGTCGCTGCTCCGCTTGTGACCGGACGAGAAGCCAAGTTTGTGGAGCGAAGGAGAATAGTTGGTTCAAGACATACCCGGGCCCTATTACGATCTACTCGAAGAAGAAGGGCTGCGCCGGTACCTTGCAACAGGCGGCGGGGGCATTCAACACAGCATGTGGATGGCATCTTCGCAAGTTGCGTGTTCCGGGTTGGGCATGATTGAGGGACAGACAGAACCAGGGAGGGAGACCAAATGGGCCATCAATGGTGGTCCTGGCAAGTGTGGAAGTTGTAGAAGTGGATGATGAAGAGCAGACGTGTGCTTCTGTGTGCACGTGTGTGTGTGTGTTTGTGTGTGTGCGTGGTCGTCATCTGCAGCGCTGACCCTAAAGCGCGCGAGAAGAACGGGCAACCGCAGCAGACGCTTCCACAGGTCGAGGCAGTTCATCTCCTGCAGCAAAACGGCACGCTGAGTCGAGTTGGCACACGATTGCCAAAGCTGGGTTGGCGGAGGAGAACAAGGATGACTCCCACCTGTGGCGGTTTCCTCCTTTGATTTTCCCATTCGCGTTCCTGATGCAGTCCCTGGTTCTCCCCCTGCTTTCCTTCCAGCCAGCGTGGTCTGTCTGTACCGTTGCCGGTGTGGCCAGGTCATCGTATGAAAATTGTAGTTTCAGGGGCGCAGACAAAACGCAGAGGAGGAAACAACAGTGCACCCATATGGCCCATACTTCGTCCGTCGAGCCTTTCTTTGCGGCGCGTGCACGTTGAGTTCCCGACCCTGCAGTCGGGCCGCTGAAGACAGAAGCCTTTTCTTTGGGGAGGTGCTGAGTATTCCTTAATTGTTTTATAGTTTGTCTTAGGTTCCCCTGTGTTTTTTTCGATGAGAAATCGAAGTTGGACTTATGTTGAAAAAAAGTGCCTCGCTCCTTATTTAGGGTTCTATAGGACAGCGTTACGACTGTATCCCTTGGCCCGTTTTTCTTGTGGATCGTTTCTGGATGGCGCCCGGGCGCCCGAGAGAACGTCCCTCCCCAAGGTTGGAAGGCAACAGGCAAGGGCCCGACGCGCTTCTTTCCGAGACGTCTCGAGGTTTGAGTTGGGAATGGCGGGCGGGAGGGGGAGGGAGGGGAGGGGAGGGACGGGGAGGTGGGGGACGGATTTAGGGAGGGGGGCCACGCCACGGCGACCGATATCCCCAATGATGTTCGCAGCGGTTTGGAGCGTCTCGGCAACAGGCACGCAGGCCAGCTAAGCAAGGCGCCGAGGCACGCCCCCTGCCTGAGCTGATGGTTCAGGCGTTGGATGTTACCAGGACGCTGCAGCAGTACCTACTTAGGTAGGGAGCCGTCCAAGGTATCAAACTGGCCGATAGAGGCT